TTTGCAGACATGACAAATTCTGTAATTAAGTCCTTTTGTCCGCAAGCTGCCGTAGAAATCAGTTGGCCTCCTTGTTTCTTATGGCAGGGAGCTGGACTACTGCTACATGCACAGAAGCCTTGTCACATGTGTATCATATAGTACCTGGCAATACCCAGTAACGGGCTTATGCTCGGCAAGCCACGCAGCAGTATCACTTTTCCTACCGCAGTTTTTTTATGCCATCATCCCACCTTTCTCCTCACTCAGTCTCTCCTCACATGCAGCTTTTAGGAATATTTAACCAGTGATCCTGTTTTCAGAGGAGGAGAAGACATGGTTACTTATTTGCAGTGGAATGAAGGCAGACCTTCAACAGCTCTCTTCTGGTAGTAATGTATTTTCTAAATATATGTAGTGTTCCAATAAGGATAGTGCCTGCCAAAGCAGAGATGTTGTTAGACAAGCTTGTGATGAAAGTCTTCATTTGTTGGGATATGACAGTATTAGCAGGCAAAGCAGTATGAAACAACCAGCTTTCATTCCAGTGACTCATGTCAATTAAAAGCTCAATAATCAAATGATATAAATATGTTCCTATAGAACAGGCTAAGTATTCAGTAAATTTACTGTTATTCTTCCCTATTCCTTTAGGGTGACTGTGTTTTTTGTAGTAGGATTCCCTATAGAGAGCACAAAGGCAGTAGCCATTGATCTCAGTGAGCTTGCTGTGAGTTTGTAAGCCAAGAACCACTGTCTTTCCAAACATATCTATCTAAGCTGTGGCCCAGTGACCCAAGAATAAAGCTGCTACACCGTGGCTACATGTATTGTTAAACAGACCATGTGACCTGGATTCAAACAGGCTGTTCAGTACACTGCCCGTGCACTGCAAGTCCCAGGGGTGTTTTCAGTAGTCTTCCACAACAGGGATCATGGTCTGATTCATGCACTCATCTTGACACCTCACCAGGCAGTCTAAAGGCCACAGTAGAGAAAAAGCACAATCCCCAAGGCTTCATGCTCTCTCATGCTCTTCCTGGGACACGAAGTCAATTAAACTTCAGCTCCTGTGGCATGTAACTATGTTGGGAAGTGTCCTGTGGGCTGCGGTAGCAGGTAGATTGCAGTGACAACCATTTCTTGGTTTACAGAAGCAATAACAACTGAGTAGCACTCCTGTGACCATGGTCCGTTCTGCCTGCTCATCACTTCACATCCAGGTAAGAGAAAGCAAGCATACTTCCTCCTCCGTCTTCCTGAAAGCCTCCTAAATATATATTGATACATTTTCATAAGAGAAGACACAAACAGAGAGTTGACGGAAGAGAGATTCAGTTATCTCTTGGATGACAACAGCAAAAAAAGAAGTGATTGTTCAGCTAGCTGTTGATTCCTTTGTAGTTTCTGAACAGCGTAATCTCCTCTCCCATACCAGCCTCTGAAAAGCAAGGCCAAGTGTTCCTGGCAAGGCAGCATGAACTATGACAAGACTGCATTGTGGAGGGCACCAGCTTCAGCTTCAGGGAGGAGATGATGTGATCACTACTGTGGGGATGGAATTAGCACAAGATAAAAGCAAACAGGAACATCTGAACAAAAACCCACATGAAAGACAACTTATGACCTCTCAGTCACCATGGGGGATCATGTCCACACATCTCTTACTCAAGTGCTTTTGTGCTGCGCTTCCTCAGGGTGCCTGTTTCATTTGAATCATTGGCTTTTTGCTCCCTCAGTGCTGTGTTTTCATCGTCAGACTCCCCAGACAGGTCCTCTCTGGCTGGCTCCTCTGCTTCACTGCAGCTCTCCGAGTGGAACCCAGCATTCTCTGCCAAGACAGCAGGATCACTGTCCTCCTCGCAGCAGCAACAGCTCTCCTCAAAGTCCAGGCTGCTACCAAGGTCCCTGCCCTGGTCAGCGATGCCAGTTTCATCATTCATCTTCTGACCTGCATCACAGCTGCTGCTCCCCATGGTGAGATTGGAGAGCAGGCTCTCCTTGCACAGGTAAGCGTCAGCATCAAAGGCCTCCATTCTTTCTGCCAGCTCTTCTGCAGAGGGTTCATTTGGGTCTGGATAATCTACAAGGATCGTGTCCTGTTTACGCTTGAGCCAATCAGAATTATCATAGACAGGATAAGTCTCTTCTGGATAACCTTAGGAATAAAGCGATATGCAGCTTGAAACATCAACAAAATTTAAAAGTCATAGTAACTTAAGTAATGTAAGCTATTAAAACCAACTTTTTTTTCACAGAGAGAGTATAACTTCTTTAATGCTATGCCAAGAATGTGCCAAACACTGGAAGATAACTGTAAAATTCCACTTTCAGAGAACGAACCCAGACTTTCAGGAGTTAATGCCTGGGCTTTGTGGAAAGCTGGAGGAGTTAACTGGTGAAAACTGTTTGAAAGCCAATGCCTAGGTCTTCAAAAAGATGCATTTTTTGGTTCCCCTCTAAAGAATGACTGATTAAAATTGGAAGATTTTTACCTATAAACAGCATCATTTATAAAGTTGGAAAACCATATCTGAGTAATGGCTATGGATTTCATTTCAGAGAATGCATCATGAAGAAAATAGATCGAGAGGGAATGTTTATGCTTTATGTTTTGAAACATATTTGAAAGGTTCTTAAGTAGCAAGAAATTAAGTCTGCAAAGATGCCTTTAGAATTCTAAAAGCTACAGCTCAATTGCAATGACTTGAAATTTGTTATATAATAAGTAAGCAATGAGAAATAGAAAGGATGTTACAATAGAATTTTTGAAAGATGTCTTAGAGTTCACTTTTGCAATATTGAAGCAAAGAACCATGAATAAAAGTAAAAAAATAAGCTGCAAAAAACATACAGATTCTCATTTCCAAAGTTTTTATGACTTTATATGAAATCTGACCCAGCGAAGAAATGAAAAGACATAACCATACAACAACCAAGGCTTAGCCGCAGATGGAGTACTACTGCTGGCAGCAGGTAGCGTGATATTTACACAGTAAGAAATGGTGGATGCCTCAAAATCTATTTGCTTTTATAGTTGTGAAAACAACTAAGGAAGGGTGAAGTACCAACCGATTCTGACAGGGTGTGGGGGCTAAAGTAGTCCTTACCCAACTTTATCTTCAGGGTAACAGCAAGAAAGGTCTTGCTTACCTTCCCAGTCCTCCATGTAGGGAGCTTCTTCAGCTTCCTTCTCAGGAGAGATGCCATCTATGAATTTTCCTTCTTTCATAACCCTAGTAATGTCTCGGAGTTGCTGAAGCAACCTTTTCTCTTGGTCTGTTGTTACATTTTGAGTTCTGCTAGAAAACACTACACATCAGAATTCAGCGCACTCTTACCAAAAGTCTGTAAGAGGTGACTTGGAGTTTGAGCTCGCTCTCACTAGCACATTCTGAAGAAACCCTAGATGCAGTATGATCCCTACTCAGCATTTCACATGCTCTGATACGGTCCCAAATCCTTCTGGAGATTGCCCTGAGAACCATTAAGTTACTGTAGTAGTTTATTCCACGGAGCAAGTGAAGGTTTGAGATGGCATGTTATAAAAAGCTTGGAATTGTGTAGATGGAGAATTTGAGATGCAAATTAATAAGGATGCAAGAGGAAATGGTTTCATCAGCTAGCTGCCTTTGACAATAGCTGAAATAGAACTGCTGAACTAATCCTTTCATAGACAAAAATGTATGTAATTTGAATATATATCACCTACATAAAGACAGACAGGCATTGAAGTCCTGTCTGTTTAGCACAGTGTGGTGATATGCTAGTTTGGCTAATAGAATCAATAATGCAAGCTGCCCAACTGTGACATTTCACAGAGGATAATTCCTAATTTGCTAGATACTCTCACCAGAAAGCACCACTTCCCTAAGGAACACGAGGCTTCTATATTTCAGAATTCTGTTCTGACCCCAGATCTCTTGCTTCAAAAGGAAATTCTGAATCCAGAGGGAGAAACTGAAAACCACACCATATTACTTCTTCATTTAAGGCTTCTGTTCTGACCCCAGATCTCTTGCTTCAAAAGAAAATTCTGAATCCAGAGAGAGAAGCTGAAAACCACACCATATTACTTCTCCAGTAAGACATACTCTAGGACTGGTGGCATTCAAGACCAGTCTGGTTGGCTTCATACAGGAGACTTGCTGAGTATAATGCACTTATGAACAGAGTAAAGGGACAAGGGATGCAAAGCATTTATGATGTAAGAAGAGGTTGTCATTTTTGCTGGATGTTTCAGCTCCAAAAGAACTATTATTTTCATAGTGTTGATGATGCACACATTGCTTTGTAGGATCCCAGAGTACTCACTAACAGATTCAGTATTTTTTTCTGATTCGTACATTGAAATTCTAACACTTCCTAAAAGGCTATCATGATTGCAGTGAAAATCTAGCATGGTGTCTCGACTTGTCAACTGGCATTTTTTGCTTCCTGGTCTTAAAAAAAAAAAAAAAAATCACCACTATAATTCAGTATAGGCCAAAAATTGCACTATAGAATACTATATATCTCTGGCTTGATAACTTCCATATTACATTTGCTTAGTTTATGGTAAAAAAGCTAAGTTTTTTCAAAATGTCAGCCTGCTAAGCAGGACTTTGAGAACAGGCAATCAAACTGCATTATTTTTACCTCTTACATAATTCCTGGAAATTGAGATTTTTTTGCAAGAGAGTATTCTTCAAGAGAAACAGAGAAATAGCTGTAAATATTCTTTGGTTTAAGGCAGTTTCAAAACAGACCAAAACTTAAGGTGAGTGATGAAAATTATACAGATTA